GGCTCCCAAGAAGCCTCCACGAGGGTCCCACGAGCGCCCCAAGATGCCCCACGAGGGCTCCAAGAGGACCCCCGGAGGCCCCCAAGAGGCCACCGAACGGCCTCAGAGAGCCCACGATTACTTCCAAGATGACTCAAGATAGCCTAAGCTGGCTCAAGATGGCTGCCAAGATGCTCCAACAGGCCCCAAGACCGCTCCAAGACAAAACGACCCGAAATGGCCACGAAACCTCCGCGGGAGGCCGCCAAGAAGCCAAAATCCTCCTCCTCCTCCTCCTCCTCCTCCTCCTCCTCCTCCTCCTCCTCCTGGCTGTCATCACCCTCTCCCAATATTGTGTAGCCGCCTCTATGCTGCGTCCTGCGTCCTCCTTCTCCTCCCCCTCTTCGCCCCCCCCACTCGGGCCCAGAGATGGCTCCAACACGCCGTCCAGGCTTGCCTCCCTCGCTGTTTGACTATGCGTGTCTCTTCCTCTCTCCCACCGTCAGCTCTCATGGGCATCGTTTATGGACAGGCTGGTGGGGATACTTTTGTTCGCGAGCGCAAATGGAAGGGCCGCGCGCCGTCCAAACAGCAGCTAACAAGCGGAAGCCCAAATAGCACACGAAAGAAGAACAGAGAGACAACAAGAGAACACACGAGAGAGAGGGAAAGAGAGACAACAAGAGGACAGCGGGAGGTGAGACTAACCGCTGGTGGAGATACTTTTTGTTTACCGACCGCTAGCGGGCAGCCGCGCGGCGTCCGTAAGTCAAACGACAGCCAGGCCGACGTTGGGATATTTGTTTTGTTCAGCGGCCCGCAAGGAGAAGTCCAGAGGGCGGTGTGACCGAGGCTGGGGCACAGCGACAGATAATTGGCGCGAGAACGCGCGAAGTGCACCTGCAAACAAATTAGGAAGATGGGCGGCCACAATTGGGCAACCATCGAGCACAGGCCAACCCGCAGGTGGGGCCGAACCGAAACCCTGCCGGAGGCACGCGGACCCAAGCAAAAGCCGCTGGGCGGATGCCAGCAGAAGAGGGCGGCCACGGATGGGAAGACGAAAACCTGGCCGGACCCGCAGGTGGAGAACCGACCGGCAACCGGGGAGGAGGACGCCGGGGGGAGCGAGCGGAGAAAAGGAGCGCAACTGGGGAGGGAGCGTGGCGGACTCACTCACGTGGCACCCATTGCGTGTACGTCACCGAGAACGCCGATCACTCACCAAGCCTCCGATGGGGGTGATGCCAGTAGGCACACGTCAAGAGCTTCGACAGGTGATGCACAAGGTAGGGCCTTCAGCCAGTGCCTCTGCATCACGGCCCGCACTCACACGGGCAAAGCCTGGGTGGGGTTATCTCGCCGACCGCAGGAGAGGGAACCCACGGGGGGCCGTGGGAACCATGGCGCGGTGTAGTGCCCCTTGGCCCCAGGAGGTGGCACGAGCCGTGGCCAGAGCCATCCTTTGCGAGCGGAGACATATGGGGCGGTGCCTTCAGCCGGTCGACCCTGTCCGTCGCGGGCCGGCAATGCGGCCAAAACCGTGGGTGGGCTTGCATCGGCCGACCGCACGGGCTACACGCCCATGGGAAATGGGGGTCTAAAGTAGGGATGCCCGTTCCCGACCAAACGGCGACGAAATGGGAAGCCACTGCGCATAGCTTGACTTCAAGAGATGGGGCACTTGGAGGGGCCGCGGCCCGCGTCCTCTGTGTCCCGGCCCGCGCTCGGCACGGGCAAAGTGCCTGGGTAAAACATGACGAGGAGCGATGGGGAAACGCCTTCAGCGAGTCGACCCGGCTCTCCACGGACCGGCAACGCGGCCAAAACCGTCGGTGGGATTATTTCAGCCGTCCGCACGGGCTATGGGCCCACGAGGCACGTGGGTGTCTATCGCGGCGGTGGGGGGTGCACCTCGAACCCAGGAGGTAGCACCGGACAGAAGCCGTGGCCCGCCGCTGCGGTGAAACAAACCCCGCCACTGACTGTGCCGACAGGTGTGGCCGCTCAGTGGGAACCCATCGGCCCTGGGGCCCGCCGCGACTGGCCTTGCCAGTGTGCGGCGGGACCTGTGATAGCCGCGCCTCTCGGGCACTGTGCTGTGGCGACGAGGAAAGGGGGGTTAGCAGCCGATAGCCGCTGGACTTGTGTGCAGAGGCAGTGGCGACGAGGAAGGGGGGGAAGCAGCCGATAGCCGCTGGACTTGTGTGTGTATGTGGCGACGAGGTAAGGGGAGATGCAGCCGATAGCCGCAGGAACTTGTAAGCGACCGAAGAAGAGGGGGGGAGCGGCCGATAGCCGCAGAACGTTAGTCAGAAGTGGGAACGCTCCAGGGGGAGGACAAGCCACTCCTCTGGGGGGTCCCCGCGGTATATGGGGGCGGCTGGACTTCCATGAAGGGGGCACCCGCTGTCCAAGAGAGCCCTAGGCCGTGCGCCTTGGGGGCTCTGGGCTGTGCCGGCCCTGCTATGGGCAGGGGGCCCCTGTCAGGCCAGTTGCCGCGCTACCAGACGTTGGGGCCACTTTTGTTCGCGAGCGCTGGCTAGGCTGGACAGGCTGGTGGGGATACTTTTGTTCGCGAGCGCAAATGGAAGGGCCGCGCGCCGTCCGAACAACAGCTAACAAGCGGAAGCCTAAATAGCACATGAGAGAGGAACAGAGAGACAACAAGAGAACACACGAGAGAGAGGGAAAGAGAGACGACAAGAGGACAGCGGGAGGTGAGACTAGCCGCTGGTGGAGATACTTTTTGTTTACCGACCGCTAGCGGGCAGCCGCGCGGCGTCCGTAAGTCAAACGACAGCCAGGCCGACGTTGGGATACGCGAAGCGTCAAGAATTTCCCAACCGTTGGGGCGCTTGGGCTGGGGCGTCCGGGAACCGAGATTGCCAGTATGGTTTGTTTACATTTCCTGGCTGTTCCTTCCAGGTGGGGCGTTTGGGCCGGGGGCGTCCAGGAGCAGAGACTGCGCGCACGATTCGTTTAGATTACCACTTGTTCCTCCTGGTCCAGGAGCAGAGAGTTCGACTGCAATTTGCTTGAATTTCCCGGTTGCTCAGGGGCGTGGGCCGGAACCGTCCGGGAGCAGAGACTGTACACTTGATTTGTACATTCCCCGGTTGCTCCCTTCCGTTGGTGTGCCAGTCCAGGAGCAGGCCGCTGCGCGCATCGTTTGCTTACATTCCTCGATTGTTCCTGGAACGGAGATTGCCCGTATGATTAGTTGAAATGTCCGATTGTTCCCTTCGGGAGCGGCAAAGAGGGGGGTGTCCAAGAGGGGGGGTGCAAATCATGACCGGCGGCATGTGCGCGGCCCAGGGGGGGGCTGGGGACGTAATGAAACAAGAAGAGGCGCCATGAAATCTGGGGAAATATCATGGCCCTCGCCATGATATCCACCCCCCCTAGTCATCACCCCCCTCTTTTCCGCCCCCGATCCCTCCCCGTGGGACGTCTTGGCCGGAAATGTCTTGATTGAGCGTCTGGACCAGGAGCATCTGGGAGCAGAGAGCGCATGCATACTGTCGTGGTTCTAGAAGGGACCTCTGGGCACGGGGTGCTCTCGCAACGCCATCGAAGCCAGGCCAAGACCATGGCGGTGCTGGAAAAATCCGCCGATCCTGCGTGTGAGTTTGAAGGGGGTTGGGGGTGACCGGGGTGGCTTTGCCGGGGAGGGCCCAGACCCCCGACGTAATGATTTTTTCATTACGTCGACCCCCAGAGGTCCCGACCCTTTCCCCATGACCGGCTTTGCATCCTGAGTCGTTTTTTGACGCTCCCGAGGCCCGGTGAGGGCCCCCGGAAGCCGAAAATCAGGAAAAACCTCCCGTCATGATTTTTTCATTACTCGAGGGGGGGGAGGGGGGGAAGGGGGGGGGGGTCCGGTGGCTTGGGTTCTGGTGGCGTGGGGGGGGGGGGAGGAGGTCGTGGGTTCTGGTCGCGTGCGGGGGCGGGGGGGTCCGGTGGCGTGGGCTTGCTGTAAAAACCATTGCAAGACTTCCTTAGAGAGCGCCTCAGAGCGCTTGGTTTGCCGGGAAGGGGTGGCTTTGCCGGGGATGGGGAGGGGGGGGGAAGGGGGGCGGGGGGGGGTACGGTGGCGTGGGTTCTGGTGGCGAGTGGGAGGGGGGGAGGGGGGGTGTCTGGTGGCGTGGGTTCTGGTGGCGTGTGTGTGGGGGGTCCGGTGGCGTGGGCTTGCTTTCAAAACCATTGGATTTCCTTAGAAACCGCCTCAGAACGCTTGGTTTGCTGGGGAGGGGGGGGCGGATGTTCATGAGTGTTTGCGGGTGTTCATGTGTACATGGGTGAGTACGTGAGTATCGTGGTGGTGTGTGTGCGTGTGTGTGTGTGTGTCCATGTGTGTGTCGTGTGTTTGTGTTCATGTGGGCGTGCGTGCGTGTGTGCGCGCGTGTGCACGGTGCTTGCGCGCGATTGCAGGGCGCGGCGTGTTCGCGCGAGAGTCAAATAAACAGTCGGAGGGGTGAGCAGAAACGATAATGGTAATGTTGCGAAAAGTGATCGTGGTGGTGCGCGCGTGAGAGTGCGGAATGGCGCGGACAGGAACTGGCCAAAGGCAGCGACTAAATAGTGTGCGCGTGTGGCGTCGTGTGGTGTGTGTGTGTGCGTGTGTGTGTGTGTGGTGTGTGTATGTGTGTCTGTCTGTCTGTCTGTCTGTCTGTCTGTCTGTCTGTCTGCCTGCCTGCCTGCCTGCCTGCCTGCCTGCCTGCCTGCCTGCCTGCCTGCGTGCGTGCGTGCGTGCGTGCGTGCGTGCGTGCGTGCGTGCGTGCGTGCGTGCGTGCGTGCGTGCGTGCGTGCGTGCGTGCGTGCGTGCGTGCGTGCGTGCGTGCGTGCGTGCGTGCGTGCGTGCGTGCGTGCGCGCGCGCGCGCGCGCGCGTGTGTGTGTGTGTGTGTGTGTGTGTGTGTGTTTGAGCGTGCGCCCGTGATGTCTGCGTCTGGAGGGGTAAACCCGAGCGACCCGGATCGGCGGCACTGGCCGAAGGCCACTTGAATACCAACCGTCCCACCTGCGCCGGCAGCCCGGCAAGACCAGGGCCACGAGCCGGGAGCTCTGGGAGCAAAGACTGCGCACATGATTTTCAGGAGGGAAAGAAACATACAGACATAAATAATCTTCGATTTCCAGGGGAATATGGGAAGTGGGGGGGAAGACAAAAACCCAGAAAATAGAAGAAAATATAGGGGGATCCTGTTATTTGTGTGTATCTATTTGTGTGTCCTTGGGCCCCTTGAGATTTGTTGATAAAACTTCAAGTTGCTCCCTCTTGGCGGGGCGTCTGGGCCGGCAGAGTCCTGGACCGTGCCACAGGAGGTGCCCAAAGCCGCGCCACGGGGGGCCCAACGCCCAGTCACGGGGGTGCCCGGAGCCGTGCCCCGGAGATACCCGAAACCCTCGTGTGTTCAACACCTCGCACAGGGGTGCCCAAAACCCTCGCACAGAGGGGGGCAAATTCCTTGTCACAGGGGGTGCCCAATTCTCTGGGGGGGCCCAATTCACTCTCACAGGGGGTGCCGAATTCCATGTCACAGGGGGTGCCCACTTCCCTGTCACAGGGTGTGCCCAATTCTTTGTCACAGGGGGTGCCCCATGCCCTATCCCAGGGAGAGCCACTTCCCTGACACAGGCGGGCCCGAGCGTATCAGAGAACAACTCGCGCTGTCCTAAGAACAGCTGTCGCAAGAACAAGTCTCTTGTATCACATGAACCACCCTCTCATATCACAAGCAAGACTGGCCCTTGTCATATGCGTCGTTCATTTCTAATCGTGCTCATTTCTGATAGTGCTCGTTCCTGGTTGCTCCTGGCCTCCGAGTGGCCAGGAAGAGACCCAGGATAGAACAACTAGAAATGAAAGGATCTTGGCCCCCCAGAAAAAAAAAAGAACTCTCGAAGAGTGAGACATGAACGCCGTGTGATCGCAAGAGCAGACAGCTCCTGGCCCGAGATGGCCACGTGACCTCCCCAGGACGGCCCCGAGGCCCCCGCAGAGGGCCCCCCAGAAAACAAAAACAAAGAACTCTCGAAGAGCGAGACGTGAACGCTGTGTGATCGCAAGAGCAGCCAGCACCTGGCCCACGACGGCCGCGCAGCCTCCCCGGGACGGCGCCCCGAGGCCCCCCCGCGGAGGGCCCCCGCAGAGGGCCCCGCGGCGGGCCGCCGGTGCCCGCGAGGCACCCGCCGGCTCCAGGCGCGCTCTCTCTTTCGAGGCATCTCAACGCCGATGTTCCGAGAGGAGACTCGATGCTCGAGGCATGCACAGGGCATGTTTTAATACATAGGATGTTTAACTTATTGGATGTTTAATACATGATTAATTTATGAATAAATTCATGCATGAACTCACAGTTGTTTTTAATGCTGAGTCCCTGGAGGCGCGCCGATGTTCCAGGAGGAGGCTCGATGCTCGAGGCATGCACGGGGCAGCTTTTAGTACATCGCGAATCGAACGTCGAATTCGACAGCTCGCGTGCGCCATTGAGGCTCCGCGGCTGCGCACTGCCCTGGAATGCTACAAGCGAGGCCCGTTTCGTTCCCACCGCGAAGGCAGCAACACGGCGAAGCCGGACAGGGCCCCTCCGCACTCTGAACCCCCCCTTTCCCTTACACTACAGCGCGTCCGCGTGCAGAGCTATCATCACGCCGGCGTGCGCCGTCAGCCTACGGGGTGGCCCTACAGGGCAGTTTAATACATAGGATTTGCAAACATATAGGATTTGTAATACATGACCAATTTATGGATACATTGATGCATGAACTCATCGTTGTTTTTAATACTAATTCCATGCATTTCCAATACGTGATCCGCACGCGGAGCATGTATTCAAAACGGCACTGTAGAGTCAAACGTATGAGCAAGAAAATTCGCAAGTGAGAAAAAGCTGGGCCGGCTGTTCAAAGTCTCCCAAGGAAACGCAGGGCCAGCTTCTGGAGCCAAGGACGTGCGTTGTTCATTTCTAGGATCCCGGGCTATCAATCCCCTTGAGAAGCTGAGCCAGCTTCCCGGCAAGTTGGTTAAGAAACGCTGGGCCAGCTTTTCGGGGGGGGGGGTCTTAATCATAAGCGGGACCGTACATCGCCACGACCAGGCCAGGCTGCAGCGTTGCCAATTACGAAGCGTGCCCGAGCGCGGTGGGCACAGTGCGTCTACAGATTATTGAGAAATGAACCTGAGGCAACAAGCTATCTCTGTCCCTGCCCTCTGCTCCGGTTCATCTCACGCTCGCAGGGGGTACCAACGGCGCGCTCTTCTGCCCGCGTGCCACGCCGGAAACCAGGCACAATGGTGGCAGTGTTGCCCAAGCGCCGTGCCAAGGGTTGACGCATGGCTTCTGTACTCTACTGTACCCGAGCGCGGTGCCCGTCGCGTTGTGGCAGCGCAAGCGGACGACGGAGGAGGAGTCGATGCCGACGACCATCCCCGAGGGAAAGCTTTGCCTCGAAGACGTCCGTCTGCGTCCTCCTCCTCCCCCCGGGCCTGGAGCGGGCCCGGCCCGGAAGGCCGCCCTGCAGGTCTCCTTCGGCACGAGCCCCGCGGAAATCATCACCTCCCTCATCGGGGATCTTCTGACCCAGGCCAAGCCAGACCCGGGTCAGCAGGAAATCAAAAACTGCAATCCAAGAACAAAAAAACTGCAACGCAGGTCTTCGCAAAACCGGGTCAGCCAATAGGCGCGGCCGCCTCGCGGCCACGAGCGGCTCGCTAACCCGGGTCAGCCAGAGGGGGCCTTCGCAGGATCCTGCAGGATCCGGCGCCCTGGCTGACCCCCGTCTGCACTGACCCCCGTCTCTTAGGCCCCGACCTCAGCCAGCAAGCACTCCGCCAGCGCTCACCTCCACCACGCCGCCCAAGCCCAGTGGCAGGCCGCCCCCCCGCAGCGCGGGGCCTGGCGGCGCGCAGCGACGCCTGCAGCTGGGCCTCCTGCTCGAGGCCCAGCACGCGGCTCAGGCTCATGCCCGTGAGGAAGGGGTCCTCAACTAGGGGGCCACATGCGAACCCTACCCCTGCCCCCCACGATTTCTGAGGGGGAGGGTGGGGTTCACTTCGCTCGGGAGCTCCCGAACGAAGTGAACCCCACCCTCCCCCTCAAAAATCGTGGGGGGTAGGGGTAGGGTTCGCATGTGGCCCCCTAACAACGTGCAGGCGGTGATCCGCGGCAGTCGGCAACAAGGGTGAACTCTGGGCTGCCAGCCCTGCACCGCCGGCCGAGCCGCACCGAGACGACCTCCCTGCCCCACTCGAGCTCCCGCGCGTAGAACGCGGCAAAACTGCCGCAGGCGCCCCGGGCAGCGGGGCCCCGGCACTCCCAGCGCGGAGCGGCCGGCAGGCGCCCGGAGCCGTCGAAGAGCTGCGTGGAGAGCAGGGGCAGCCCGAAGTCGTGGCGGACCTGCAGGAAGTAGGTCGCCATCAGCGCCAGCGCGTATAGGAGGTCAGGTTCCGGCTCTGCGCCCCGCAGACGCCCGCGGCCTTGGGCCAGAGCTTCACCAGCAGCGCCAGGCCCCGCACCAGCGGACTGACCTGCGCGTACGCGCGGAGCAGCTGCGAGTTCCGCTGCCAGCTCGCTGAGGCACGCCCACAGGTGCTGGGCCTCGGGCACGGTCGGCACGGCTCTCGCGAGGCCGAGCTCCAGGTGGCCGCCTGGGGCGGCAAAGTCGGGCGCCTCGTGCTGCTCGCTGTCCGTGGTGGTGGCACTCGCGTGCGCCGGTCCGTGCTGCGCGGCCTTGTCCACAGTGACGAGGACATAGGTCATCCTACCGCTGCCCCGCCCCTCTCTGATCAGCTAGCTGTACTCTCACTGGCAAGAAAGAACTCCCGAGCCCCGTCGACGGACTCGGCATCGAAGATACAGTGGGTTTGCTTGCTCAGCCTGCACGGGCTCTCCAGCAGGCAGCATAGATCTTGAGCAGATGTGGCAACCAGCGGATCGAGCACGCATAGTCTGGAAGCACGACGACACGCGCTCGAACGAAGCATTTCCAGTGGAAAGGGGGGGAGGAAGGAAGGCAGAAGTGAGGGACAACGCTAGGGGGGGGAATGGCATTGGTGGGGAAACATCGACCTGGAAGCGGCGATCCATCGCCAATCGATCGGCGATAGGCCCCCGACAGTGAATCCACACGTTCCTGAGCAGGGGTGGGCCCCGAGCGGCGATGAATGGACGAGTGGTGGTCTATGCATCCCCCTATGCCTATCCCCCCCCCAAGCGCTGCCTCTGCAGGAGGGCGCCAACTCTTCACCGACATCGACCTTGGCCAATCATGGGCTCAGGATCGCTGTAAGCACTCGCCCAACTACACGCACTCCTCCTGGTCTGACCACGATGGAGCGTCCGCCGACCCCAAGCCAAAGGTTTTTCCCGGTTGTCAGTTCGCGCCCGCTTCGAACACACAAGACGGAGCGGTGCATCTCCCCGCGCGTGAGATTCATCGATGGCCTCCTAGTGGACGTGGGATGCGATGATCAGCGGCTAGATGGTTCCGAAGAGCCACACAATGAAAACATCAGAGGGCTTGTGACGGATGGAAACAAGACCTCGCGCGTGGGCAGCCTCTACTTCATACCACGGCCTGCCGTCTCGCGAAAACGAATGACTCACAACACACACTGTGCGGACACATGTGGGCGGCCTCGTGCCCTGACCTCCAACGGTGGGAGCACTCGAAAACATATCATTGCCTAGGTCGCACACACATTCATGTATCGGTGGCGAGCGAGGGGGGAAGCCAGAAGGGTAAGGCCTTCTCGGAAGGCGGCGGGCCCTACTCCCCGACGAGCGCAGCGCTGAGCGATTCAACTTGCGCAGAAAGCGTTTCTCGCTGCTTGCGAACGTCAGACGGTGTGTCGAACCCGCTGGACCTTGGAAAAAAACCTCCTCGCGCGGGACTCGAGCCCACCTATCTCGATGATTCCCTGCGCCAGTTTTGGCACGCTGGGGCTGCGAGGAGGATTTCAGCCCTTCATGAAATGGAGCAGCAGGTACAGAAGCAAGACCAGGAATAGGAGCAGAAGGACAAAGGGCAGGGACCCCTAAGCAAAACTCCGCCCTCAAACTCCCACCGACATACCCTCGATACCCACAAACCCTCCCTCCCCACCCCTCCATCCCGCCTCTTCCTCCCATCCCGCCTGGTCCATTCTCGTATCTTATCCTCCTGCCTCCTCCTCCCCCCTTCTCCTTCTCATCCTCCTCGCTCCTCCTCCCTGTTTCCCCCTCCCTGCTTCTCCGTCCTCGTCGCAATCCTTCCGCTTCTCCTCCTGTTCCTGCCACCTCTCCCCCCCAGACCTCCAACGACCACGACTACCACGATCACGACTACCACGACCACCGCGGCCATGACGACAGATACGCCATCGACGACCGTGACGACGACGACGCCGACGACGACGACGACGACGACGACGACGAGGACGCCAACAAACCACGACCACCACCACGACCACCGCGCCCACGTCGACGACGACCCCGCCATCGCCGCCGACGTCGGGGTCGTCCCCGTCGCCGCCGCCGCCGTCCGCCGCCCGTCGTAGCTCGCCGCCGGGGGGCTGCGGGAGATGCCGATGGCGCTCCTGCGTGGGCCTCTCCACTGGGCGTTCTGACCAGAACCTCGTGGCGAATGCCGCCGTGGCGGCGAGGGCCTCCCTGGCCATCGCTCGGACGTCCATTCCCTGTGCTTTTTTTTCGGTTTCGTGCGCGGTTTTCTCGCCAGATGATCCAGGATGCTCCTCGAGGGTCCTCGCCGGCGGAAAACCGCACACGTCCGAGCGATGCCAAGGATGCCGACACCGCTCTCCTCCGTGGGCCTCTCCCCTGGGCGCTCTGGCCGGACCTTCCGTGGCGAGTGCCGCCGTGGCGGCGAGGGGCCTCCCGGGAGGCACAGGGAAGGCGACAGCGAGGCCAGGGCAGCAAAACATCGGCGCTGCGCCCCCCCCGCAGACGGTGCCCCGTGGCTTCCGGGGCACGGCTCGCCTCCCCGGCGGCCGTTCGGGGCGATCCTTTGCACCGAGAGAGCGCCCTCGACGGGGCGCAGCCTTTCGACAGCCACCGACGAGGCGCAGCCGATGACAGCCGCCGACGAGGCGCAGCCGAGAGGGCGCCCTCGACGAGCTTGCAGCGCGGTGCCTCCACAAAGCTCCCGAAAGCTTCGGGGCGCTTCCCAGCAACTCCCGAAAAACTTCACTCCCAGAACTCGGCCGCCCCGATGCGCATCGCGCAACCCGCAGCGTGTCGACGCGGAGCCCAGCACGTCGGCGGAACACGTGGGCCTCTGACGCGGCACGTTCGCCAGAACGTAGGCCAAAAACGCTGAGCCAACACGCAACGCACTGACACGGAGGTCTTGAACAACGGTGCGTGTTCGTTCCACAACGGGCGCAGCAGGGTAGCTACGGTCGGCCCGTAGCAGAAGGATGCACGATAAGGACGCAGTGGCCTTGGACGCCCACTTCGAAGCTTCTCGAGCGGCGCGCGGCCAACGGAAGTGGCCGAGGATGGGCCGAGGAGGCAAGGACGCAAGGGTGTCCTTGGGAAGGCTGCGCATCCTTACTGTGCGGGTGGACCGTAGGCTCCCGAAGGCTCGTCGTTCAGCGCCCCTCAAACGGGGACTCCACTAACGGGTACTTTGGCCAATTACCCAGCGAACCCAGCCCTTCCCGATGTGGGCAAAGCTGCAATGCAATAACAAGGCCCTAAAGAGGCAACTTTCGGCAAAATTCAAAGTACCCGTTAGTAAGTACCCGTTACGGTGCCGTTGAGTCGTCAAGGTCTGCGCAAAGCCGGCACTTCGCCGCCGCGAAGCGGAGTGCCCCTCCTCGCGCTGCAGCGCGGCCGCCCTCTCCGCCTCCAGGCGCTCCCGCAGCTGCTCGGCCTCCCCGCCAGGGCTTCGTGCGGCGGCCACGGACCCCAAACGCTGGCGACGACGGGCCGCAGACGACGACGCCGCCGCCGCCGACGACAACGACGACGACGGCGACGACGGCGACGAGGACGAGGACGGCGACGAGGACGAGGGCGAGGCGGCCCCGCCGTGAGGCCCGGGCGCGCCTCCTCAGCCCGCCGCCGCCGCCAAGGTCGACTTCGTCTTCGTCGCCGACGTCGCCGCCGCTGCAGTCGTCGGCGCCGCCGCGGCCGCCGCCGCCGCCGTGCGCGCCGTCTATGGCCCCGCCGCCGCGCCGCCGCGGGGCGACAAGGACGTCAACGGCGACGGCGACGGGCGGGACTTAGGGGGAATGTGATACCCGACCACTGTAACCGAAACACATGACTGCCAATACCCATCGGTCGGAAGAAGTAGGTAGAAACATGAAGTAGGAAGGCGTTGGAAATAGATTGGGTTTCCGCACGCCTCCTGAAGAGGAAGGAAGAGGGAAAACCACTCGACTCTTTAAGTAGGAAGGCGCTGAAAGTAGATTGTAGTCTGGGAATCCAAAGATACATATTTTCAACGACCGATGGGTACTTGTGTCGCAAGATTGCTAGTCATGAGCCACGCCTGCATCGCAGAGCCGCGGGGGGGGGGGCTGGGAAAGGGCACGCCGCCCTTGGCAAACGCCCTGCTCCGATGCGTGGCCGCCGCGATCGCCGCGGCGACCTCCAAAAATCGACCGGGAGGTTTGGCCCAGGGCCTGATATCACGCACAGATGAGGGGGAACATTGCTTGGGGTTGTCTGGGGGTCAGGGAACGGGGTCGTCTGTAGAAATGGCCCCAGAAGGGGCAGGGAAAGCGACTAAAACGGAAATCCGTTTTCGTTTTGGTGTGAAGGTTTTTTACATTGGCGGAGGCCTCCTAGATGGGGTCGGAGTAGATGGAGTCAGAAAATCGCGCCGCATCGCCGATACATCGGCGATGCATCGTCGACGTGGGCGATGCATCGGCAGCGTCGACGTGAAGCAGATCGGGCTACACATCGAGCCGCGTCGGTGATGCATCGGCGATGCGGCGCGATCCTCCGACCCCACCTGCTCCGACCCCATCTAAGAGGCCTAGATTCTCCTGAATCGATGGGAGCCGGGTTAGAGTTCGAATTTTGATTATTTTCTGACCCTCTTGGGGCATTTGTGGGTTCTTGTTTTCCCAGAACATCCTCTCCTTCCCCCTCCAGAAATCCAGGAGGCCTCGACATCAGGGGGGGGTCCCGGCTCTTCTTGGGAGGGGGAAGCATCGGCCTGGCATCGGCGACACATCGCCCACAATGGCCGATGGGCCCCCGACGGCCAGGCCGCTCGCTCCCAGGCAGAGCGGGCTACGGGCCCCACCCTCGGCGATGACTAGGGGATTGGAGGTCGATGCATCCTTCGGTGGCAACTCATGAGGGCCTCCCATGCCATCTTGTCCGCTCTTGCGAATCGACGCTCGTCGATTCTAAACCGACGCTGATCGACGCTACATCGACGCGGGCCGACGCTAGCCGACACTAAATCGGCGCTATCTCATCGACTCCCACACGCCAATCGACGCTACTCGACGCTAGAGACGGAATTAAGAGGGTATACTAGGGAGCCCACAAAGGACGTACGCGCCCAGCTATGTACATGAACACGGCCCCTCGATTCGCGAGACCGGCCGCGTGATACGAACATTTGTGCAACGCGTGCTCTCGAAACCAGCGTGGATTCATGTACATGTACGTCCTTCTTTCGCTCCCGAGTATACCAGACTGCCACGATTTGCTACCGAGGCATCCCCCTTGTTGAGCCGATATCCAAGCCAAACGCTACCCCCGAAGTTCACAGCTCGGCTCTCCTGCGGCCGTCGGGGGCGATCGATCTGGATGCCTCCCCGAAGCGCTCTCGGCGAGGCGCAGCCGCTGGAATTGCAACTCCGAGGCTGTAAGGACCGCGGAGGCGCCACGAAGACATCCGGAAACCTCGGACCTCGACCGACACCTCGGATGTGAGGTGCGAGAGCAAGCCCTGCAACACACACAATCCACAAACTCCACATGTCCACCGAAGAATCACGACAGGCTCGCTGGATAATCC